TTTCGAAATATATAAATTTACCAAACACTTATATTTAGCGGTTTAGGTAAAACCGCTAACCGCTAACCCAAAACCGCTATATCAAACCGGGCCTTAGACTCAATTTTTGTTATAAATATTAAATATTATCTTAATCTTTTGTTTAGATTAAAAGTGATCTCAAATTCTTTTAAAATTACTTAATTTAATCTTATTGTTAGTCACTTCCATTAAATTCATAATAAAAAATCTTAATTAAAATTTTGCAAAGCCACCAAAACCTTTAAACAGAAAAAATTATTTTGGGAAACTCTAAAGATCATGTTTCATTTTTTTTTTTTTTTTTTGCCTTCTACTTAATGCAAAGCCCCTACTTCAATCTTAGAAACTTTTAACAAAATTTAATAGTTTAATAATATAAAAAATTCCAAACATTTTTCAAAAATCAAAGAGTTAGCATGGGAAAGAATCCAAATTTTAATAAAAATAATTTTAGGCCAATAAAAATTTTAAAAAAAATTATGAAAAAATTTCTATTAGACCCCAAAATTCTAGCTAAGATTTCCTTTCAAAAATTAAAGAAAGTAACTAGCCCTAGGATTAAGTTCAGTAATTTTGAAAAGGTTTGAGACTATTTTTGGCTCAAATGAAAAGTTGAGATAATATCTTGTATAGATAATAAAGGTTAATGACTAAATTTGATATTTACCCAATAAAGAATTATTTTATTTCATAAGATTGAAACATGAAGAAGGGAACATATGCGCTTAAGAGTCTGTTTGTTATAATGATTGATAGTGGATAATGGATGGTGCTGGTAGATATTCCTTCCTTTCTCAAAATATATATTTTTTTATTTAGAATTTGTCGTAAAATATTTTTTATAGGGTATTTTAGAGTACTAGTTAAAAGTGTAATAAATATTTTTTTATCATAAATTTATGTTAGAAAAACAAAAATTGACTTTTAATTTATTAATTGTTTGATTAAATTTATCTATATAGAATAATACTAAAATTAATGTTAATTTTTATATATTCTATATATTTATGATGAAAAGATACCTTAACATTTTCTATAAAGACACAAGTTAGAAAGATGAGTAAAAATTAATATACAACTATATATAATACATTTATCTTAACTTAAATACAAACAAAACTC